TTTTTTTTTATGCATGATATGACTTAATTTTATTCTTAAGTAAGTAATACTCTTTGTAAATAATGTTTATCCATTTTATTTGTGTCCCCACATTAGTATAGGATATCTCCCAAACTAGAAGGTTGTTTGACACGTTCACAAACTTTCTATCTATCTATCTATCTATCTATCTATCTATCAGTTTAAAATGGGTAAACGACTTCGACTTTTGTCTCCTCATTGTCAAGTACTTAATGTTTTTCCCTCTTTGACTCGTTTGTTCTGTTCTCTGTTCAAGGAATTCTTTTTAAAAGATTCCTTGGACAGAGAACAGAACAAAACTTTTCAGCAACGGATAGTGAACAGCTTTGATCTCAGCCTACTTAAGCACAGCAACGCAGTTTCAGCTTGATCTCCTGTCCTATTTCACAGTTTAACAATACTTAGTGATGATTATATTGATTTGTCTACTTTAATAGCGCAACTATAAGACCCCAGCTTGTTCTGTTCTCTTGCGGTATCTTAAATGTATTAATGTAGTTGTAATTTGTCTAGAATTTTGAAGCTCTTACTCTGTAAATCTTTTTATTTTATAATATACGTATTAAACACTGCCCGCCTCGACTAGCCTTTGCTAACTGCGGACAGTGCTTATTTTTTTGTGATATTGTAATGTATTGTAATATATTGTATTTAATTAAAGACTAAACACCACAAGAGTGAGTTGCATTAATGTGAGCATTCTTAGATATAATTATTTACAAAAGATGACGCTCTGATAAGAAAGAACAATCTTTATGTATACTTTTAAAACCTTTTTGTAGAGGGTCGCTGGAACATATAGTTCGTATTTTTTTCTTTTTATCCCAGTCTTCATCTGCCTCTGCTTGATCTCCCTTCCATTATTTCACAGATTGCTAATGATTACCAGCATTCATCAAAGCAATTTTAGATACAATTATCATCCAAATGATGATGCCCTGATTACAAAGAGCCAGCCTCCCTGTGTACAACGTTTAAAAATTTTCGTAAAGAATCACTTTGTTAAAAGAGTAACACAACGGTAAAAA